GCCTAGCAGGGAGCCCGATATGGGACTCCATCCCGGGACTCCGGGATCATGACCTGAGCCGAAGGCAGTCACTTAACCAACTGAGCCACCCAGGCACCCGAAAAATAAATTTTTAAATTGAGGTTTAGGGGCTCTTTAGCTCATGTTTTAAAAGTACTTACTATGAATACTGATACATTTGGCTCTTCCAAAATATTAATAAGTACCAAGCCTAAGTTTTGATAGTAAGCAGTGGTATACAACAAAAATAGACTATCAAGTGTTGGTAAGAAATTACTGTGCTGAGCACTAAACTTCTTTAAAAATAAACAAAGGCTGAACATTATCTGAATAAGTAGTGAAGTCTTAAACTATTTCCTCTTTTCCTCCCTTCTGAGGTACATATATTTAATGACCAGACATTGCTATTTCTACCCCAACTCCCAACTATACTGCTGGTCTTTGAGGACAGGAACAAAATCTTACCATCCTGTTCTTTCACTCAGTGCAAGGATCTTAAGCTTTTTGTACCTGTAAATCACCTATGAATAAGACTTTGTTACCTTTTTGCGTGATGTATCAATAGTTGGAATAGGCATACATTCTCCTCCAATGGCATCCTAAAAACAGAATTATATACAAATGAAAACTTTCCTTCCTTTGTACGCTTATTTCTACACAAAATAAAACACAACCCAAACTTCACAGACCTATCTAATCTGATTCACTTTCAAATATAGTACTTTTCCTGATACATGGCTCTTTGAAAGCAATATTTTGAGGCACACTATTAATATATTTACCATTGCTTTTCTTTTTCTGTCTTCAGGAGCACGTGATTCCTTAAACGTTGATTCAAGTCGAATAAACTAGAATATAAACATTAAAATGAATTGCTATTATTACCTATAAAAACCATACAATCTATACAAGCTTAGAAACTAGTGATAAGGCTTTCATCAAAACTATTGCAAACATGGGTTGGTGAGGGAAATGAATTTAGACTAAATTCAGCTGCCACCATTAACTTCTACAATTGGAGTGATCTTTTATGGTTAAATCAATTCAGATGATAACGAAGTAGTCTTACCACCACCTACTGGAGGCAGAAGACATCAACATTGTAACATAATAAATATGATTAGTTACCAATAATGACTTCTGTAAGTCAAGGGGAAACTTAGACCAATCATTTAAGTTTTCAGATCTATTACTGATTTGAATTAGGACAAACAATCAGTATTATTCCTTCAGGGTTTGGGCAAATTTTCTTATTAGTCAAATCCTAAAGGAGCACTAAGATAGCTATGGAGAATTGTGTATTTCTTTAGTGCTAGTTTAACTTAAAAAAAAAAAACAAAAAACTACAGAATTACCACTATGTAGCTTTACCTTTTCTATGTCTTTCAACCTCTTAGAAGACCCATCTACGGATGGGGAATGGGATCTCTTGTGTGTAACATTCTTAGCTGACATTCCATTAAGATGTGGTTGTCCCTGAGCAGGGTTGTGGGGTGTTGGGATTCTAGGAATGACATTTCGTCCTACTACAGTAGGAATGGTGCACACAGCTGGGGGTGATACAGCTTTTACTGCAGAATCAACTTCTGAAAAGGAAAGAAAAATTCTAGTAATTAAATGTATACGTAGTAAAATCATTACTAACAAAAGTGCAGATACCTACTTGCACCAATGACTGGGATAGATAGTCCTTGTGCTGGTGGGACACTCAGTGGCTTTTCCACAATGACAGCAGCAGGCTCAGCATTATTCCTATTGAAAGTTTTGAATTATCATGAGTAATCTGTGTTACTTATTTAAAAACACTCAACATTCAGGATTATTTCTTTCAAGTACTCCTACTTTAACATTTCACTGAAGGAAGAGAAAACGGGAAGAAAAGCAGAGGACCGAGTAAAAACGGAGAAAAGAGAAAGCCTGTGCATTTCTGTGTACTGATCTAGTCCTACATCTTCATAAGCCTATCCCATGTCCCACAGGATTAGAACAAATTGTCAAGTATTTCAAATGACTAGCAACTGGTAAAATAAAATATATTAACAATTAAGCTAAGGTACAGAAAAGTTTACATCATCCCCAAACTGAAGAATGAAAAGAAAATTCTGAAAAACAGACCTTTCTATTTCTCCTGAAGGAGGAATGTCCGGCTTGGAAGGTTTGTTTGCAGACACTGGGGAATTAAAAGGTGTTCCATTATCAGTGTCCCTGGAGCTATCCAAACAATTGCTATCTAGAGATGATCTTTTGGACTGTGGTCCACTTGAACTTCGACTAACATCAGAAAGACTTTGCTGAAAGAGGGGGAAAGCAGTTAGGATTTCAAAAAGCAAATGAAAATAATTACTGGTTTCAATTCTGAAGTACATAAAATGTATTTTGTGATTAATGAAGGGGAGATTTTAGTTCTAGATTGAATTGTATCTTTCTTTCCTTTTTATTCGATAGGTTTGGGAGCTGTGAAAAGTGCAAATCTGGTCCCAGCATCCTGCGTCTGAGTGGAACTATACACTGGAGAGTTAAGATTATAAACTCACCTTTTTCTTCTTTTGAAGAATCTCTGCTGGAAGGTAGTGATGAAGTTGCTTTTTTTTAACATGAGTTGCTTCAATTTTCATTCCTTCCTTTAGCATGTTTATATTATTTGCCTGTCTGTACACTGTAACAATGTTAATATGTTAAATGGGCAACTTCTTCCTGAACTGAGAGGTCTGTTTTCTTTCTCTAAAATGCATACATTTGGTATCTTCCCATAATCTCACACACATACCAACCCTGCTTATAGAACAACTATTTCTCAAACATTTTCACCCTGTCACAATCCTATTTAAGTACCACTTAGGGGTGCCTGGATGGATGGCTCAGTTGGTTAAGCATCCGACTCTTGGTTTCAGCTCGGGTCATGATCTCAGGGTCATGAGATCAAGCCCGTTGTCAGGTGTGGAGCCTGCTTAAGATTCTCTCTCCCTGCCCCCTCCCTGCTAGTGTGCATATGCATGCAAGCTCGCTCTCTCTCCAGAGAAATAAAATCTTAAAAAAAAAAAAATAAGTACCAACTAGTTTTCTCATGTCCAACTTCTAAGATTTTCCAATAATTCAATCTCATTAACAAAATAAATGCATGAAAAAAGTTTTTTCCAAATCCTGTTTTCTGTTATTTTCCCAAAAGGCAATCTTTCTCCTAATTACTTACCCAAGTCTAAGCTAATCCTTATACTAAATATCCAAGATACAATTCGCGCTCTTCTCCACGAAGCTTCTTTTACTACGCTAATCATAGAATGTCAGACCGTTAGGAACTATCTAGAAATACTACCTTACTGTACAGGTGGGGAAATGATGCACAACAGCCCTGAACAACTTGCTGAGATTAAAATACACACAGCCCTAGAGTCCCTTCTAGTGCTTTTCACATCTTGTAAGAAAGCCAGTTTTATTAACACACAAATTATTTAATGTATGTTCAACTGTGAATACCAAATCAGATTACAAGCTTACTGAAGACACAGGTAAGAGGCTTCTTTTGCACAGTAAGTACTGTGACATGTGGTAAATTATCTAATCTCTTGGGGGTCTCAGTATCTTTATCTAGAGAAGAATATTCTATAAATCTGTAATAGAGCTTCCCAACCTCCTGCTTTTGGAAAAATGAGCCCAAATTAGAATGGAAAAATTTATGTTTTCATTCCAGATTGCTTATAGAAGCATCACCAGGAGTACTTGTTCAACTTGCAGATTCTCTGGCTCCTCTCCCAGAGTGGGGGATTCACTGGTGCTGACGTGATGTACAGGAATCTGCATTTTCATGATAAATGTGAAAGCTAGTTTAGAAGAATTTAGAAAACTCAGATGAGCCAAGCCAAAAATATTAATAGTATGAATATACACTATTCCAGATTAAGACAACTCCAAATTTATAACAGATACATTAAGATATTCCAGAGATGTGTCATTAGGGAGCTAGATGTGAAAGACACTCTTTCATTGATTCTGAAATATAATCAGCAAGCTGTACCGTTAGTATATGTTAAAAAATTAAGAGTCAAGTCATCTTTATGATTGTGCTCCTATCTGTGCACGATGAAAATAAAAATCACCTGTATAAGTTTCTTTATTTGTCTATTTTAAAATAGATAATACCATCATTTGGTACAAAGCTCAAACAGTACAAGGGCACTGAGTGAAGTCTCCTCGCCCCATCCCCTAGACACACCTGGTTCCTTGACCTAAAAGCACCCAGTTCTGCCTGCTTCTTTTTTTAAAACTATATAGCCTTCCAAAGAATGTATTTATAAGCAAACATGCACATATATATTTTTTTTACTTATTTATAGAAATGGTAGTGCACTATACATACTGTTCTGCAACTTTCCCCCCACTTAATGTCTTAGAGATGGTTTCACCATGCCTTTACTTTTTTAAATAGCAGCATAGGTTTTCATAATATGAATGTACCATATTCATTTAACCAACTGAAAAACAGAGCCAGCCAGATCCATGGCAGATGATACCATGTTACAGCTGAGGTTGAGAACCACGGCTCCATGATGACGAAGTCTTACCTGTATCAGTAAACGACTGTATATCATAGGTCAAGTCTATGTTAACACTTTCTGCATTTTCTACTCTCCGAAAAATTATTCCAAGGAACCACATTGATACGTAATTGTTGCTATAAAATAAAAATTTTAAGTTTCCATTAATTTTTTTTTACAATTTTAGATGTTATTTGGTAATTCAAACTTGGCCTCTATGGAAGCATAAATACAAATTGCAATGGTTTGGCTAAATTCTTAAAACTGACAACAAGAGCACTGATCAGTTACCATGTGTTGTTACAAAGAGGATTAAATGGCTTTGTAAACAACCTACTAAAAATCTAAAGATGCTCCAAATTTTGTGATGGAGTTTCTGCTGGGCTCTGTGGGCTACCAACACAGTATGTACTAGTTTTAATGCATGACCACTCATGCTCAAATAATCTTAAACAATGCATACTGTCAAATAACATTATTTAAGAAATATAATATTAAACAATAATTAACTTACTCTTTATGATGTTCCTTATTTCCTGGGAATGATTGGGGATTTACATGGGCAAGAGTAATAAATTCATTTCGTTCCAAGTTTCCAACAAGCACACGAATTTTAGATTCTACTAATCCAACCCTGAAACAGAACAGTGAACAAAATTTTTCCATATTATATTTGGAAACTACATCTAAGTAACCCAAAAAGCATATTAGCTATGATGCCTTACATGTTCATTTAAAATATTTAGTCAAATATATTAGTGACTTTGAAATACCATTTAAGTAAATGACAAGTTAGTCAATTTCTGTGTTTCCCCCTTCCCCTCATTTAAAAGAACTGCTCTATTTAGTGAATTCCTGATCTAAACTATCCAGCCTGTTAAGACCGTAAAATAGTCATGATTTGAGCATGAACAAAATCTGTTGGTTAATGTGGTTCTTTCATTTTCAAATCTTATGTCTATACGCTAAGGCTAAGATATGTTTAAATAACGTGGGGGAAAAAAAGCACTAATATCTAGTACCTAATTCATAATAAACATGCTCATATTTTCATAAAATTGGTACTAGATATTGCATTTAAAAAAGTTTCAGTAAATTCAGATCAGATACTACTAAAACATGAAAGTTTCATCAGGTTTCTGCAACTCTGTTTTCTATCTAAGAAATGTAACTACTGTCAGCTATTATATTAACTTACAATGATTTCATTAATTAGAATAACTACAAGGACATTTTTACATTATTCAAACACTTGAAAACGCTTACACATTATAATTGTAGGTGCTTCAACAGCACATATATGGAACACCGAGTTACTGCTCAGTGTTATCTAAATGAGAAGTTGGTAAACTTTTTCTATCAAGGGCCAGACAGTAAATATTTTAGGCTTTGTGGGCCAGTTTCTGTTGCAACTATTCAACTCTGCCATATAGCTGGAAAGAGGCCAGACAATATATAAATGAGTGAGCATGACTGTATTTCAAGAAAACTTTCACTTAAAAATTTTTTAAAGTTAATTTTTTTAGTAATCTCTATACCTAACGCGGGGCTCAAACTCACAACCCCAAGATCAAGAGTCACATGCTTGTTGGACTGAGCCAGCCAGGTACCCCCTCAATAAAACTTTATTTTTAAAAACACGTGGCAGGGCGCCTGGGTGGCTCAGTCGTTAAGCGTCTGCCTTCGGCTCAGGTCATGATCCCAGGGTCCTGGGATCGAGCCCCGCATCGGGC